ACACCTCTCATTTGCCTTCTCATCTGTTTAAGGCATTTGTATCTTCTCTCTTTAGTATCATTTCACTTGTATTTTTGGAGTGGAATAAAATATTGGTTGTGTCCGAGGAGTAGGCAAAATTAGCCGAACCTCGTAAATTCTGGTGTTCCCTTTATTGTTGCTTTATTGTCTTATCTATTATTTGGTGGTTGTTATAATTTTTGGTATAGTAGTTGTGACTTATTCACACTATATACATTTGACTTCCGCAACAATTATAATCTAAAACATTGCTTTTGGTTTTAAACTGTATAAACTTTTTCCCGCTGCAACGTTAGAATTGCCCAAAGGTACTATCATTTGGACTTTTATCCACATATAGCTAATTTTTGTATTGTGCAAGTAGGGTAAAAGCAAAGGTTGTTGGGGAGAAATATACTTCGCCACCCATAATCAAATGTCTCTTGTTTGAATCCTGAAAATAGAATTGCCTTTGATCGGGAGTGTGTTATCCCCAATATAAAATATTTCGGCACGAATCTGGATTAGATGGTACCAAATATTGGATGGGAAATCGAGGAAAAAAAGTTGTGAACGCATGCCAAAGGAAGAGAAAGGGTTTAAAATTATATTTATTGTGCGTAGGAATAATTCAGCAAAGATGTTGTTACCTCACTTAAATTAAACGGGTATTCTTTTATGCCTAAACGTATTTGGAGTGAATTATCCCCCGAAACACTAATACCAATCTCACAATATGAGATGTTTTGCACATGCGCGCCACGTCAAAACCACGTCAGAAATCTTTTAACTTTCCTCTTTTTCTTTTTCTTTTTCTTTTTCTTACTCATAGTTTTACACTAATAATCCTAATTAACCATTAAAATGCTTCAATAATAATACTAAGCAAAAGGAAAAACCAATACCAGGTAGAAAAATTGCACAAAAAAAAAGACATGTATTAGGAAAACAAGAAAAAATCAGATCGTCGGAGACCCAGTGGTCACCAATAGCTTCAGATTCGACCAAAACAACACCCAAATCACTCAAAACAACCAATATTTGCTACCTGACTAATTCAGAATGACATCTTCAGCCAAAATTTTCAACGGAACCAACATTTTCATTCATTCACACCATTATTACATGATTGAAGGTTTCTAATTTGAACCAGTGGACTTGAATTTAAGCCTAAGATTCTATATAGTTCAGTGACTATCTGAGTAATGGACTCTATAACTTTTTACAAGAATCCTTCTATCATTTGATACCAAATTCAACGTGAAATTGATACACGAATTAGCTATACCGGGGAAAACATCCAAATGACAAAATTGTCCTTCTACCGAAGCCTTCTCTTCATATATGCACTTGGGCAATTCCAAGGTTGTAACTAGAAATAAACATTCTCCAGTATAAAACCAAATAATGTTTTAGATTATACAATGTATGTCCCATTTTAATACTATGAATCAAACATCCACTAAGAAATGCATATGCACTAGATAATACAGAATTATTAATCCTTATATTGTAATTTTTGTCTGATAATCTCTGCATTAACTTATCTGCCAACTGAACGACCCCTTGTGGAAGAATTGACGCCCTATAATTGTCAGAACAACAGCTGGATAAGATTTAAATATATATATCATCGGGGTGATTGAATTGATAAAGTGACATCGTTAACCGAACACAAGTGATCATTAGATGGAGGCTGATCAGCTGATCTCACGACAATTCGCCCAATAGAAAATGCAGGCTGTGATGGTTGTGGAAGCGTTTGAGGGTCGTTTTCCAGCATAAAAACTACAGAGGACATGGTAGGTCTATCTGTTGGATCTTGTTGAACGCAGAGCAACCCGATATGGATGCATTTTGTTATATCAGCTGCCACACAGGACTGCGATAAGCCAGGGTCCATAAGCTCTAATCCTTTCCCTTCACACCACAATTTCCATGCCTATATTTTCAAGATGATATCAGGATGATTTATGCAAGTTGAAATTGACATAACAAAAAAACAAAAAATGGAAAAGGAAGACTCTTACAAAATTAAGGAGGCTCTGACCATATTCTGAAACATAGCCATTGTTTTTCCTCCCACTTACTATCTCAAGGACCAGAACTCCAAAGCTGAAAACATCTGATTTAGTAGAAAAGAGTCCTTCCATTGCATACTCAGGGGCCATATATCCACTGTAGAAGTAAAAAAAATTGGTCTTCAGCATCATTCTTATAGCACAATGTCGTTTACACAATGTCAACACATTTTCGAATCATCTTCAGCTATCTAGCTTGCAATTTCACACATCAAATATCACATATGTTTGAATTCTGTTAGGGCGTCATCTAAAAGAATGTTTTAGAGAAAGAGCACGTGTTTGTTTATTTATTTAATTTCTATTAAACATACTCCTTATGTGCAGGCTAGTTCTTCCTCTTTGCGCTCTGCATGTTGAGATATTCTGATCGTGGGACTTAAAGGCGCAAGGTGGCACATCTTTTGTGTTCTAAATATTTCAGACAAATGTAAAAGTCAAATTTTTGGTAGAAGAAAAACTCAATCAGAAGTCTTACTAGGTTCCAACAACTCTATTTGTATTGGCTTCACATTGATTTCCGCAAAACATCTTTGCCATTCCAAAGTCTGATATCTTCGGGTTCATATCTTTGTCCAGTAAAACGTTGCTAGCTTTTACGTCCCTATGAATGATTCTCAGTCGAGAATCCTCATGTAGATACAGAATTCCCCTGGCTATTCCCTTAATAATGTGGAGACGCTGTCTCCAATCCAGAATCTTGTTTTCTCTTGAATCTAGAAAAACAAAGTAAAGAATGAAGTTAGTGAACAATTGTTGCTTAGCGACCAATTGTCCAAATAAGTTTAGGACAAACTGAAGAGGAAGAAGTCCAAGCTTTTGTTGGGCATGAACTCATAGATAAGCAATGCTTCATTTCCCTCTAAGCAGCAACCCAAGAGCCTCACGAGATTTCTGTGCTGCAATCTGGCAATTAAGATGACTTCATTCTTGAACTCTTTCAGCCCTTGACCAGATGCTCTAGAGAGCCTCTTGATTGCAATTGCTATGCCATTGGCTAGTTTTCCCTGGAATGTTATACACAACACCAGATGACCAAAAACTATGGACAAACTGACCCCCTCTAGCAATGTGATAAATGATAGGGATTGTTACCTTGTACACTGGACCAAATCCACCTTCTCCAAGCTTGTTTTCTTCAGAAAAATTTTGTGTAGCAGCACGAATGAGGTCTAGTTTTACAACTGGAAACTCTTTGGACCTCGCCTGCTTTTCGGAGCTAAAATCATCATTCGAAAAATCTTCAGTAAGTGTTTCTTCTATCATGTTAAGCAATTGAGTTTCTTGATTACTTTCATCCCCCTCTGTAGAGATTCAACTTTTGATTGGTTAGCTGGAAAAAAACAGTTTCTTTTAAACCCAATACACCAATAACCTTTTACCTTTGGCTATACGTCTTCTTCTTTTCACAAGGTAAAAACTAGTTCCTGCCAGTACAACAGCCAACAGTGCTATAACACCAATGATGATACTAATAAGCTCTGTCTTCGAGGTATTTCCGCCTGAAAACAGAAAATATTTGGTAAATTCAATGCTCAAAATCAATGGTTACCTGTGAGTAGAATGCCTTGATAATTAAACTTATTTAGTACAACAAACTTGAGATATAGAAAAGTTCATTGTTTAAGACAATCTTCAAATTCAGATTATATAACAGTGGCGTATGAGATTAACAAGCAGTTCTAGGATGCTATTTGTATGTCATTTTATAACCATGAAAACAGTAACCGGAGTTGTAGACTTTTAGTAGAAAATAGAAATATATGTCTACTCAGAAGAACTTTCCCCTCTTTTCAGATAATTGGGGAAACTCAAAAATTAGAATCACATTCTGAATACGTGAATAACAACTTTTTAGTACAATTTTTTGAAATGGTGAAGGGAATATGCAACTCATTGTCAAATAGCTAAATTTAGAGAACATTATCGACATTTATGTCAAACCTGCACTCTCCAGTCAAGAGCCATATTCTTCATTATTTTGTGATATTTCAATTCTGCAAGTTGGAGAAGGGGCGACAAAGCGTAGTTTAGTATCATTTGATCAAATCCGAATCCAAATCCAAATCCAAATCTCATTTCACATTCACTCTCATTTTAAGACTATTTCATCTTAAACAAAAACTCAACAATCCAAAACTCAACATTTACTGGGTATGTTGTTGTTGTTGTTGTTAATACTAAAAAGTTTTAAAAATAAAAAGAAGATAAATATTTATAATTTAGAGGGTAAAATAGGTATTTAGCAATTCAAAATTTGAAAAATCTAGTTGAGTGACCTTCTAAGTGCAATAGGCATAATTCAGTGATTTTGTTGTTACAAACGAAAGAAAAGTGACTTTAGAAGATAATTTGGGGTAGCTGAGTGACCATTTGAGTAATTGACTCTTAGTACAAGAAACTTGAGATATAGAAAAGTCCATTGTTTAACCATTGTTCAAATTCAGATTATATAACAAACAGTGGCGTCTGAGATTAACAAGCAGTTCTAGGATGCTATTTGTATGTCAATTTATAACCTTGAAAACCGCAACCGGAGTTCTAAACTTTTCGTAGAAAATAGAAATATATATCTACTCAAAAGAACTATCCCCTCTTTTCAGATAATTGGGGAAAACTCAAAATTAGAATTACATTCTGCTATTTCCTTAAGTTTGTGAGGCCAGTTTTGTCACATGCAATGGTAAATTGCTCTAGCCCCACTGAAATCTGAATACGTGAATAACAACTAGGATTTTTAGGTACAATTTTCTGAAATGGTAAAGAGAATATGCAACTCATTGTCAAACAGCTAAATTTAGAGAACATTATCGACATTTATGTCAAACCTGCACTCTCCGTCCAAGAGCCATATTCTTCATTCTTTTATGACATTTCAATACTTCAAGTTGGAGACGTGACGATTGCCCTTCACTTTGAGGGACAAAGCTTAGTTTAGTCAAGTAACGTAACCTTTTAATGATTGATATTACTAGTAAATGATTTTCTTAATTTATGTGTGTCATGACATTTAAAATGGACCAAAAATGTAGTATAATATGATTAGGATTGTAAAGCTTTTTATATGAATTTGAAGCCATTAGTTTAATGTGAAAGACAGGGAAAATAGGTGCCTCCATATAGATTCTCTGGGAAATTGCTTCCTTTTCTTAGGATATTTGGCTTCACAAACAACCTCTGGAAATAAAACTACTGCATGCAGCTTATCAAATAGTAGAAGAGAAGATCTTTTACTTGCCTTTATCCTCGTTACCCTGGCTGGTCGATCGCTGTGGTGCTCCCGGACCCTGTCCGCCAGGATTACCTTTATCCTTGTTACCCTGGCTGGTCGATGGCTCCCGTCCAGCAGGATTTAAGAACTGATATAGCTCATACCTTAAATTGCAGCTTGCATATAGAACTCTGCATCCGCGTGGTACTCTGGCGTCAGAGAGTAGAGTACTGATTGCAGAAAGAGCAGTATTCAGGCAAGCGCGACAATCTGCAGCTGACAAATTAGGTAGACACTGCACCATGCCATACAACTTCTGAATCGGTTCAAATTCATCAGAATTTGCAGCATATTTAAGGTTGGGATTAACTGAAGTAGCTTGATAGGTAAGGTTATCAAACATTGCACCCAAAATCCCCATAAATTGTTTTGGCCGCGAAACGTTTCTTGTGTTATACAAAATGAAACCACCTGAGTAGTCCAGGGTGGAGGCGAAAGATACATTAGAATAGCGGATCAAACACTCATCATACCATACAATTGCCTGTTTCTTGAGAGCACATGCGCTCAAGATCTCCTCAGTTGCCTCGTCAATGCAGCTTTGGCAGTCTTTAGGTGCGACGTCTCCCCTACAGAGGAATACTCCATGTACTTTATCAGGGTCTTCTCCTTCACTGGCTTTTGCATAGATGAAATTGCCACCGTTATTGTATAGTGATCTGTACAGCAAGCGGTTAAGATTTGACTGAAATTTGCTTCCTTCTGTATAGTCACTACTATTGGTTGAACAAAAGCTTGCCAGGAATCTGTTCTCTATAGGTTTTACGCCCACAAGTATGTTTGACAGAACAAGCAGCGAAAGGAGCAAGAAAATCAGAGTTGTTCGGCTACTGCTTAAAGCTAGAGCAGACGCCATACTTGATTATTTCCAGGTCTTCCAAAATCCTAATGTACTGCCCAATTGACAATGTATATAGGAGGGAAGTTGACTCGCACTCAACAACAGCAAGTCAAGGTCTTCTTACAAGGGCGAATTGGCTACTTTACCTATAGATATTTTCTTTCAAGGTTGTTATAAGTACGCTTCAAGCTAATTAGATCAGAGAAAACTATAGTTTGATTTATTTATCATCTTTGTAAATACAAATTCCCATATGATTGTTACTTTGGGAGGCAATGATATATAGTGAGTTATGTTGACCGTCATGAGGGGAAAAAATCAAAATTAAACTTAATAAAATCTTATCAAAAGTTAGTAATGTTTCAACAAGGATTAAATGAGTTGGTTACATTATCAAGATCAAATTGCATCTCAAAAAGTAAAAATAAACTTTAAACAAAAATATCTAAAACAGTTAAATAAGTACTTTAAGGCCTCTTATTACAACTTTTCTTTAATTAGGCATCCAATACCATTGAGCCGCCTCTGTTGCTTGGCTCATAAAAAATAATGCATAATAAAACAATAATATGTGATTATCACACACTTCAAATATCAAAAAAATAATATGTACTTTTTCAAATAGTTTAAACCTTTAGATATGATTATCACACACTTCAAATACCAAATACCAACTAACAAGTAAATAGGAAAGTGTATGTCACCAGGAAGTTTCGTTCTATTATCCTATTTTATGAAGGTAGACTTTTCTTTTTTGTCTATTTTAAAGAAAAAAGATACAAGGATTAAATAAGCAACTTGACTTTTAATATGTAATTGCGATGTGCATGTAAACTATATTACTAGGTTACTCTTCCAACTGCCAATTTGAAAAGAAGCAACAATATGCCAAAGGACTGTCACATGTCCTATTGTTAGACCCTTGACAAAGCTAATCGGCAAGCGGCGCGCACTGGCGAGGATTTGGCATGATGGTCTTGCCATTGACCTATGTGCGGGGAAATTAACATGCAAGACAATGTGGGTGTTGTAAATGGCAACAAACTGTTGCAAGGGCAAGTGTGATGGACTACACTTCTATTTGAGGGCTATGGTGTGACGGACTACACCAAAATATGAGTGGGCTGAGTGCAAGTAAAGGCCAAGACCTTGACGGAACTATGCGGGCTGGACGGAAGCTTGACAAGGCAAAACGGGAAAGACCTTGGCGCTAAAATAGGGCAACTTAGTGCCAAGGCATTGACATTGGCAATATGATGTTGCCATGACTTAGGTGAGCGGGTTGGCACCTAAGTAAATTGTGGAAAAACGACTTAGCAACGGGAATGGCATCATGACTTGGTGACTTGATGCCAAAATTAGCTTGGCATTGGCAAAAGGCAGACTTGATCAAGTAGGGGCAACTTGACAAGGACAAGCAACTGTGGCAGCGGGCGGGCGTGCGGCTAAGTCATGGGCAACGAGCTGTGGCGATGGCATTGAGCGGGAGCAGTGTCAAAGGCCAAGGCTGGGCGCAAAGCTAACCTTGGGCGTGCAGCAGCTGGCCAGGAACGCGCACATGCAGCGCATATGGAGCGGTTCTCACGTGTGTTGTGCACATGCTATGCAGTTGGGCGATTACAACTGCCTTTGTTCAAGAGTTGCTGATTATAAGGCTGAGTCTTTGCACGTTTTTAAGCATATTCTATCATGACATGCACGTTTTGATCATGGGGATCATGTGCTATCAGTTGGGGGATGTCAACTGAAACAGGAAATCAGTTTTGGGCTTACTATACTATATATATGTGTATTAGCAGCCCCAAAAATGGGCTAAGTACCTAGGGTGGGAAATAGAGAAGATTTAGGCATAGGGTTGTCTATGTCAAGGCTTGAGCATGGCAAAATATGTGCCCCAAACGAGTGGGAAGCACGAGACTCCTTAGGCGGGGGATTTTATAGGGCAGAATCGTGCAAGTCTCGGCTATTTTTGTAAGTTGGTGCTTGCCAAGGGTGGCAGCACCTTGCCAAACTCGAGAATTTCCTTTGTAATTGATTTATTATAAAAGGTTGGAAAAGGGTTCCTGTAAATCTGCTTGTGTCCTTCTATGTTTACATTGCCTTAAATTGATCCTAAGTGTTAAACCTCGAAAGCGAAAGAAAATCGGGCAAGGCTGAAGCCAAGTGGGGACTTGACTGTCGCACAGCGGGCAACATTTTTGGCGGACAGAAAACGCCCATGTGACAACTGGTATCAGAGCGAGGCAGGTTCGTGACGAGGTCGAAACGGCCATGGACAAGACTACAAGATAGTAGGTCAGCGTGCTTGTTCGTGGAAGGGACTCTCTTGGCTTAGAAATTCAAAAAAAGTCAAGGAAGGCAGTGATGCAGGAATTTCGAGTTTGTGGGTGCCAAAAATTAGAGTGGGTTCTTTCAAATCAAGTCAGTTGCGTGCTTTATTTGCTATGGGAATGACGGGCAGGAAAAGCAAATGAGAAAAAACGTTGCACTTGAGGGCAAGGACAATGTAATTCTCAAACGGGTCCTGAACTTGTGATGTCTTTGCAAATGGCGAGCATATGTTGGAAATATTCGACGAGGGCGTCGAATTCAACCGGTTGGGGTGGTTTGTTAGACCCTTGACAAAGCTTATCGGCAAGCGGCGCGGTAGTGGCGAGGATTTGGCATGATGGCCTTGCTATTGGCCTATGTGCGGGGAAATCAACATGCAAGACGATGCGGGTGTTGTCAATGGCAACAAACTATTGCAAGGGCAAGTGTGATGGACTACACTTCTATTTGAGGGCTACGGTGTGACGGACTACACCAAAATATGAGTGGGCTGAGTGCAAGCAAAGTCCAAGACCTTGACGGAACTAGGTGGGCTAGACGAAAGCTTGACAAGGCAAAACGGGAAAGACCTCGGCGCTAAAATAGGGCAGTTTAGTGCCAAGGCAGTGGCATTGGCAATATGATGTTGCCATGACTTAGGTGAGCGGGCTGGCAACTAAGTAAATTGTGGGCAAACGACTTAGCAATGAGAATGGCATCATGGCTTGGTGACTTGATGCCAAAATAGCTTGGCATTGGCAAAAGGCAGACTTGATCAAGTAAGGGCGACTTGACAAGGACAAGCAAATGTGGCAGCGGGCGGGCGTGCAGCTAAGTCATGGGCAACGAGCTGTGGCGATGGCATTGAGCGGGAGCAGTGCAAAGTCCAAGGCTGGGGCAAAGCCAGCCTTGGGCGTGCAGCAACTATCCAGGAATGCGCACATGCAGCGCACTCAGAGTGGTTCTCACGTGTGTTGTGCACATGCTATGCAGTTGGGCGGTTACAACTGTCTTTGTCCAAGAGTTGTTGATTATAAGGTGAGTCTTTGCACGTTTTTAAGCATGTTCTATCATGACATGCACGTTTTGATCATGGGGATCATGTCCTATCAGTTGAGGGATGTCAACTGAAATAGAAAATCAGTTTTGGACTTACTACACTATATATATGTGTATTAGCAGCCCTAAAAACGGGCTAAGTACCTAGGGTGGGAAATACCAAAGATATAGGCATAGGGTTGTCTATGTCAAGGCTTGAGCATGGCAAAATATGTGTCATTGCCTTGCCAAACGAGTGGGCAGCATGAGACTCCTTAGGCGGGGGCTTTTATAAGGAAAAATCGTGCAAGTCTCGGCTATTTTTGTGAGTTGGTGCTTGCCAAGGGTGGCAGCACCTTGCCAAACTCGAGAATTTACTTTGTAATTGATTTATTATAAAAGGTTGGGAAAGGGTTCCCGTAAATCTGCTTGTGTCCTTCTATGTTTACATTGCCTTAAATTGATTCTAAGTGTTAAACCTCGAAAGCAAAAGGAAATCGGGCAAGGCTGAAGCCAAGCGGGGACTTCACTGTCGCACAGCGGGCAGCATTTTTGGCGAACAGAAAACGCCCATGTGACAACTGGTATCAGAGCGAAGCAGGTTCATGACGTGGTCGAGACGACCATGGACAAGACTACAAGATAGTAGGTCAGCGTGATTGTTTGTGGAAGGGACTGTCTTGGCTTAGAAATTCAAAAAAGTCAAGGAAGGCAGTGATTCAGAAATTTCGAGTTTGTGGGTGCCAAAAATCAGAGTGGGTTCTTTCAAATCAAGTGAGTTGTGTGTTGGATTTGCTATGGGAATGACCGGAAGGAAAAGCAAATGAGAAAAAATATTGCACTTGAGGGCAAGGACAATGTAATTCTCAAACGGGTCCTGAACTTGTGATGTCTTTGCAAATGGCGAGCATGTGTTGGGAATATTCGACGAGGGTGTCGAATTCAACTGGTTGGGGTGGTTTGCTAGACCCTTGACAAAGCTTATCGGCAAGCGGCGCGATAGTGGCGAGAATTTGGCATGATGGCCTTGCCATTGGCCTATGTGCGGGGAAATCAACATGCAAGACGATGCGGGTGTTGTCAATGGCAACAAACTATTGTAAGGGCAAGTGTGACGTACTACACTTTTATTTTAGGGATACGGTGTGACAGACTACACCAAAATATGAGTGGGCTGAGTGCAAGCAAAGGCCAAGACCTTGACGGAACTAGGCGGGCTGGACGGAAGCTTGACAAGGCAAAACGGGAAAGACCTCGGCGCTAAAATAGGGCAGCTTAGTGCCAAGGCAGTGGCCTTGACAATATGATGTTGCCATGACTTAGGTGAGCGGGTTGCCACCTAAGTAAATTGTGGGCAAACGACTTAGCAACGAGAATGGCATCATGGCTTGGTGACTTGATGCCAAAATAGCTTGGCATTGGCAAAAGGCATACTTGATCAAGTAAGGGCGACTTGACAAGGACAAGCAAATGTGGCAGCGGGCGGGCGGGCAGCTAAGTCATGGGCAACGATCTGTGGCGATGGCATTGAGCGGGAGTAGTGTCAAAGTCCAAGGCTGGGCGCAAAGCCAGCCTTGGGTGTGCAGCAGCTATCCAGGAACGCGCACATGCAGTGCACATGGAGTGGTTCTTACGTGTGTTGTGCACATGCTATGCAGTTGGGCGGTTACAATTGCCTTTGTCCAAGAGTTGCTGATTATAAGGTTAGTCTTTGCACGTTTTTAAGCATGTTCTATCTTACATGCAC